GTTTAGGCCTGAGTAAATGCCACGTGACTTAATAAAGCGTCCAGTCAAATGAAGGAACTAGAACACCAATCTGACTGTGATCCCGCTAGATGTAAACCCGCCATCATTCTCCAATAGAGATCAAACAGAATTTACTTTATAATTGTACTTCTGGATGTAATTTCTAGTATAGCCAGTGATGCCAAAGTTTGATAACAATATCTGATTGGGATTTAACTGAATAACAACATAAACTGGAAACTATGTCGGCATGTCTATATCTTTTTACATACAGGAAAATGATGCAGAACAGACTAAACGAAATATGTATGAAAGGAGCCATTTAAAAAATAGACATAACAATTACACTTCATGCAGGAACGACCACATCTACTTCAATTTCTTTGACGGGACAACGGTGTATGACAACCAGGACTCCACGAAGGGAACTGTTGCTCGCGGACCTCACAAGGATGAGGTGTCCATGTTCTCTCGGGTTAGATTTCTCTGGGTTTTGTTCTCGTGTTCTCCGCCAAGCTATTTGTCTATCAATCAGTCAAAGTAATATTTTCACCATATTCTTTCTGATGAGGTAATTTATACATTTATCCATCTCTGCGATAGCTGGTGGCGCAACCCATCGGCATTAATCGACAGAGAGTCTAATTCATACCTCAACGTGTGCTCAACAGGTCCAAGAAAGGGCGGTGCGGTTCCTCGATGGGAAGTACCCAGACAGGTATTCTGCAGGAGATTGTGCCTTCATTAGGTGAGTCGCAGTCGTAACTGTTGATGATGAGTTATTTTCAAGGTTGCTAATAGACATAGCTGGAGTAAGGTTGGGCATGGAAGGTCATATATGCTATTTGTCATCATGCTGTACCTTTATACATGTTTCATACTTGAATGTCTTTATAATCATCATCCCTCTGAGGAGACAGGCCTCTGTTTACACCAAGCGTGGAAGTTCGCGGCAGATGCTCTGTATACTATATTCAAGATTAAAGCATCCTGGACACTCTTTCCATTGAAACTATGTGATGTGTGAACATGCATGGTGTAGTGTTCCAGAGTTGCCCAGTGTTCAGTGCCCTAAAATAGCGTGTTAAATGTACTCTTATACTATCACATGATCCTCTTCCAGACGTCACGTCAAATTGCCACACGTTTTCTGATCAATTACGAGGAGAGCCGTACATTCACGCTTTACTACCGCATTCTGTGAGTTTATGTGCGTAGTCTAGACTTATAGATTAATACTTTCCAGGACATACTCAACACACTATAATGCCACCTAAAGAGAAAAAATCTTCAATACCTTCCTCCATAGAAAATACTGCAACAGAAGTTACAACTTCTGTTCTCCTGGATTATATTAAGCAACAAGACTTTACAAGCTTTATTGTCACACCTGACATCACCATCTACCTCCCCTGCCCAGACTTTATCAAAGCCTGACGCATCGGCAACGACCTCAACGCCCGATGCATTGGCAACGTCTTGACCGCCTGACACATCGGCACCTACCTCAACGACGCTACACACACTGGCAACGGTCTCTATGCCATCCACATCGGCAACGGTTCCTATAGACGTAATACAGTCACCCCTCAAAATCCCTGGCATTCCTCTTCCCACTCCTCTTTCAACAGATTCGACACTCATGTACATGAAGTGTATGAAGAATGGAAGACGTCATGGGAAGATTACCTCTTCGTGGCAGGACTCAATATGTACCCTCAGCGTGTACAGCTAGCATATTTACGCCATTGACAGTGAGACGAAGGAAACACTTGTACACTCCCTTGGTGTCCCTGCAGATTCTACAATGCCCATCAGTGACATCCTTCGTCTTATTGACAGCCTCATGAGACGACAAAGAAACCAGACACTTCGTCGCTAGTAATTTGCTCAAGTTCATCAAGCTCATGGTCAAACATTTGATGCTTTCTAAGTAAGTCTGAAGCAGATGGTTGCAGATCCCGATCTCTTTAGACATTACCTTGATGATCGTCTCTTAGATGGAATGCATACAAACCCTCGATACTCGGAGAACAACTCGATTTGGACCCACCTTCAGACTCTCCTGTCTGTGCGGCAAATGGATTTTCACTTAATGCTATTGGGAAATTTGAAGCAAATGTCATTTATTCAAGCATAAGTAAGGGCATATGGAGCCATGTCTTCAACCACTTCCCAGATGCATTACTTTCACGACACCATGCACGAATGCATACAAACCCTCGTGACAGGGACTACCCTATGTTATTCCACTTGTTTGGCATGATGATGTAAAGAAGGAAATCAATACCATGGTATTGAACATCACTGAGCCAGTAGGAGACGAAGCTTGCGAATGGTATTACCCCTTGGTAGTCATCCCCAAACCAAAGGGTGGTGTTCGATTGACAGCAATTTGTCAAGCCTCAGCTAACAAGTAGTACATACAGCACACCCATCTCCTATTCCCTGTGATGCAGTTCGTCAGATAACTCAGGGAGCAACAATTAGTTACTAGCAA